GTGGAGGAGAAAGAGTTTTTCCTGCAACTGAGTTATACTCGCATCCCAAATGGCCATGCCAAATGATTCTTTGGCCACCTGTGTGTTAAAGCTCTCCATATTGGTGGAGAGCTTTAAAAAAACACATATTGGTGGTATTAAAATGTTGTGAATAAACAGTTGCCTTCTGATTTTTTTTCTGAATCGGTGTTTATTAAATACAAACGCCAAGATAGAGATTAAATTTACCAACAGTGATACAGCTTGCCTTGGACTGCATAGAAAGTGCATTTATGCAGCTACAAAAATGTGGGAGGCTGGAAAAGCCTATATAGCCCTTGTCTATTGTAAAGAAAACACCAGTTAAAGAAAAACAGGGTGTTAAAAGGCACAGTTGAAAGAGAGGAATAAGGAAACAAATATGAATCTTATCAAGGTGCAACAGATATTGAACTGATGGAATTAACTAAACCTAAGTATGAATTAAATAAAATCTAGGTTGTGTGTATTCTGCTGAATTAAATCAAGTAAAATCTGGAAATAATAGTACTTTGCCTTCTTTATGGCATCTTAAAAGGCATGTCAAACCAAATAAAGTTGTGACTGTGGTGAAGTTTCAGACTGTTAGTAGGCACACAACAAATTACTCAAGAATGTCAACTGTCCCACAAAGAACTCTGTAATTCAGCAGCCTCTTCTTGCAGAGACCCTAGTCCATTTACTGCTGGAAGATTATCATACTATGTTATCAACTGTGAAAAGAGAAAAGGTTTCAATAAGCTAAAGGAAGCTTCAGTAAAGCAACTGAAACCTCAGGCTGTCACCACAGGAAAATGACAATCAAATGACTTTTTAAACATAAATATCCATAAAGTTAGGAGTAGTGTAGGTTTGAGGTTTTGCATTACTATTTCCAAAGAGAAGCAGAGCTGTTAAATTTCTCTTTCTAAAATGCAACGCAATTTGATTTTGTGTGTAACTGCAGACATCTTGGCTATTGGGGAAGGAGGGAGAGTGTTGCTGTTACTAAGTTGTGTATTTGAATCTTTTTGATCGTTTTTTTATTCTCACATTCTTCCAACTCCATAAATTGAGCACCTAGCACTGAGCACCTTGGAGATATTTCTTGCATCTTTACACCTGCATAAGTGATACAGAGGAGGGGTTCCATTCACTTTCATAATAATAATTACTGTTACATGTACACACAGAGATACATGCACACATATTTTAGGGGCTAGCTCTTACTAAAGCTAGGTGTAAATTCATGGGCTTTTTGGATTTGGGCTGTCAGGGGGAACCAAAGAATCATCCTCCCCATCCCCTTACCACTGCTAGAGATAAAGATTTTTAAGAAATTGTTGGAAGTAGCTTTGGAGAAGACTGTTTCCCATGTCAAAACTACCCAGTCTGCGAGTCTTTTTTTCTCCTCTTCTCCTTCCCAAATAAGAACCATGATTTTCCTCCAATGCTTCTCGCATTGTTTTAAGCACCTACCGTTGTCCCAGTTTTATGTGGGGAAGCATCAACATAGCTATTGTAAATGGGTGAAAGGAGGAGACACAGAAATTATGAATCTTGGAGCACTCCATTTAGTCTGAGCATAAGCTGTGATATGATTAAGAGTATCAATGTTCTGCTCTTGCAGAGCTCCTACTTATGAAGCAGCTTTGTAAATGCTCAGTAAACATGAGAGGCTTTACAGATCCAGGCATATCCTGCAACCATAGCTCTGGTGATGTCTTTCAAAATGTGCCTTGTTCTTCTTGTGGCAGCACAGAGGGACAGACCCCTGGGCACAAGGCTGTGAGTGTGATGCTGCACAAAACGTTTCAGTTCACTTTTGTAGGATGTTCTATGGTTTTAATTGCAATGTAGTTTTTGGACCCTTACTCAAGTAATTCTCTTGTGGTAGCAAAACACATTTGGTACAGGTTTTATTCTACGTTTGCTCTGACAGAAGAAATAGCTCATGGTAGGTTAGCTTAAAATTACCACAGTGATTTGCAAGGGTAATAGGGCTGTTAGAGATGTGCATAGAATTGCATCCGTTGCCACGGAGTTGAACTTTGAATAGTGACTCTCACTTGAGTTGGGTACCTACCTTGCATACTTCTGATGTTGTTATTCCATCAGTACTATAAATCCAGTGGTACCTTGTGTAATGTGTAATGAGTTGTCCCCTACACAATGATGATGGAATATCACTGTGACTTATAACACTCTTAATATGCAAAATGCTGGCAAATGGATTAGCTTTTTAGTGCTGACCATTGCATCTAAACAATGTACACCCACTACAAAATGTCAGTGCTCTTCCAATGGCAAATGATGAATGGCAGAATTGGAATGAGCTCTCTCATTTATACTGGCCTTAGAAATGCAACATTGATAGCTGTTTTGGAAGGAGGGAAATACTAATGGAAGCAGTAAGTTGGAGGGGAAAGATAAAGAAAGGATTAACGCAGGTAATGGAGAAGAAAAAGTAATGCAGGTTACTTTAATCAAGTTTAAAACCAGAGACAGTGAAGTTTTAGTACTGCAATTCTCCACCTTGCAGAGATGGTACTGAAGTGGCAGTTCTTTTTGGTGTGGTGGATCCATTCAAGTCTCATTGTCCTTCGTACGTTACAAAACAAGTTTTATGGATTTGAGATTTCTTTTAGGCCTTTTCCTCATTTGTTGTCCTCTGGCTGTGACAAATAGCCTTCTGCCCTTTTGGGGGGCCTGTTTCAGTTGGTCTGTTTTATAGTATTGTGGGCTCATGTCCCCTCTCTTGGCTAGGACTGGATCTTTTTCTGCAGGCAGAGTCTTTGCTCATGGATTTCACAGAAAATTTGTAATTTGTTCAATTCCTTGAGTTTAGTTTTAGTATAATACTACTTTACTATTATTCAGATAGCAGCCAGAAGCATCCAGCTGCAGTCAAGACCTCACTGTACAAACTTAAGTAAGAGGCAAGCCTGCTCCCAAGTGCTTGGGGTATAACTGTTTGGACGCTTGCATAAATTGCAGGGTTAATAGATGCATATTTCTACAGGTTTCAGGCTAGGATGGCAAAGCACATCTCAACCACAAATAAATTTAGCCTCTTTTCCTCTGTGGAAGTTGGAGATTGGTTCTGTGGTAACACTTCCCCCCCCCCCTCTAATTCCCACACATGTACTTGTTACTGACATATATATGACTGTGGTCAATATAGGTGCTTAACTTTTTAAAGAGCCTGTGTAAGTCACTAAGTGCATATTGATTTGAAACAAATGTAAATTAAAAATAATTTTGACTTGCTAACGTAGTCAAATAAGGAACATTTCTATTGATCTTTGTCCCAGAAGCCAATTATCTGGATTAAGTGTTTTTATTATATGAAATACAGTGCATAGTATATATCATTCTGCATTGATCAGTGTGAAATTGCATGTTTAAGACAAGAACTGTACGAGCGGTTAACAAGTGATTTATTTTTTAAAAGTAAATCCTGCTTTATTTACCCCCCACTTTTACCTGTTCAGCAGCTGTGCTTGTAACTGACCAGGAGGCTGTTGACGCATGTGGATCAACACATTCTTGTTCCTATCATTTCCGTTTTGGCTTCCTTCCCTTTCACCCTGCTCCATCTACACTATGTTCCCTCCCCCTTCTGCCTCCCCGACGTTGTAGAGCTTACCTGTATTTCTGACTCCTTAGCATTGGCAGTTTTTGCCACACTGTGCTCTGCATTGAAAGACTGTTCTCTGTATTAAATAAATACATTGCGGCAATCTCTCATGCCAGGAAGCGATGCTAAGGATGTGGAGAATTTAGTAGCGCATGTACAGGTGATGGTTATAAAAAGTGTGCTGAATCTACACGCTAGTGCCGCTGTACCGACGGGGGTGCGGGTCGGTGGTCCGCTGCAGCCGAGCTCCCGGGGTGCCGCCGGCGGGGCTGCTCCCCCCCACCAAACAGGGGCCCCGGCGCTGCCTCCGGGAGGCAGGATGCGGCCGCGGCGCTCCGCTACCAGACTAGCCCTTGCAAGACGGCGACCTCCAGGAATCGCTCTGCCTCTCGCTACCCAAACGCTGACAGTATCTACACGTATCGCCACAGCGGGCCGTGCCTCAGCCCCGCAGCAACTTAATAATCTTGGTAACATCCTGCTCTCGACTCATTTTCTTGGCAATAGTTTTAATTACGTTTCGGGCTCCTGAATGGTTTTCTCTGGATCCTTGGTATATTGAGACGCTTGTCACGTTTGGGTGCCTGCAATCACTGATGCGTTTGTTTTAGGGGATGAATTAGTCTTCTGAGCCTGAGCATGTCCAATTTCTGAATTAGCTTTCATTGAAAGCTAGAACAAAACAAAACAAGCAGCGGTTTTGCTGTGCCACTTTCTTTCTCCCACCCCCACGTTCCCCGCGGCAGGGTAAAAAATCGCGCGTTTCCATTCGGCTCGTCAAAAGCGGATTCTGGCCCGAGCCCGAGCGTGCGGAAGAAGGGGCAGCTCCCTCCTTCTCCCCCCCAACCCCCTCGCCGCGGTGCCCCCGGCCGCTGAAGTTGGGAGAGCGGCAGTGAGGGCAACCCCGCGCCCCCTGCACTCACCTCCATGTAAGGGGCGGGAGGGCGCCGCACCGACGGTGCAGTGCCGCGCCGGCCTCTCTCCGGGCCGGGCGGGGGCCACGCAATGCCGGGCGCCCTCCGGGCAGGGGCTGCGGCCCCGCGGAAGAGCCTGTGCCCGGCAACCGAGATGCTGGCGAGCCGCCTCGCCTTTTCCTCCTCTCTCTGGGCTGGGAGCATGCTCCCCCCCGGGACATATACACACATTATACATACATATATATAAAAAAGATTATAATTCTGCATACATCTAAATATGTTAACTGCGATTAATTTCGCTGCTCTTGCAGAGCCACCCCGCTTCCCCGCGGAGCTGCGAACTCCCCTCCATGCCGCCCGCCCGAGCAACCCGCTGCCCGATCCCGGCCGCCGCCGCGCCGTGCCCCGGCGGCACCGAGGCTCCGCAGTCACGTGGCGCGGGGGGCGGGCGGCGGCGGCGGCGGGGGGGCCGCTCCGCAGTTCGCGGTCTGCCGGCGCCCCGGCACACACCGAGCGCTGGAAGCTCCGCTGCGCCGTCTGCCAACCCGGGATCTACCTCCGTGCTTTTTTATCCCCGGCTTCTTTTTTCTCTCCCCATCGCCCGTTTTTCTCAGTCTCGGAAAATTCTTGGGGTGCTGGGGGAATTTGGGATTTTCTTTCTAAAAGGGGGTGTCTGGGCATCTCCCCCCCCGCACCCGCTGCCTTGCTCCACTTGCCCTTGCGCCTTTTTTCTTCTTTTCCCCTGCCAGTCTCTCCACCAAACCCGGGCTGATGTGCTGTGCAAGAGGCTGGAAATGGAAGTGTTGATGCTCTGGCTTTTCCCCTGGATATTTCAGTGCGTGTCGGTGCGGGCGGACTCCATCATCCACATTGGTAAGAGAGGGAGCGGGGCGGGGGTGGAGAGGGACGCGGTGGCTAAATAAATAAATAAAGGGAGCGTCTCGTTTAACCGCGGGAATGTCACAGGCAGCGGTTCAACCCAACTCTGCGGAGAGACAAGAGGAGGGAAGGGCGACAGGCAGCCGAACCCTTCCCCCCCACCCCCGGTTGTAAAGTTAGGGGCGAAACGGCGGCTGGGGGTGGGGGGGTGGGGGTGTTGTGTGCGCCGGGGCGGCCGCTGCGGTCTCCCATGTGGCAGGGGAGCCCGTGCGGGGACCTGTTTGCGGGGAAAGGCTTTCTTCCTCCCCCCGCCGCCCGCCTCCTCCTCACCGAAAACAAACAACCGCCCCCAAAACCCCAGCGGGAGGGAGGCATAACCTGAACGTGCTTGTAGGGAAAACTTTCGGGGAGCTTGAGCCCGGGTTCCCAGTCCCGCGTTCCCATACCCTGCCGTAGCAGGTGTCAGCCGAACCGGAATGCAGGGGGAGGAACGGGGGGACTCGGCTGGGGAACGGTTAGAAAGGAGATTTGCAGCGGCTGTATGCGTGCGTGTGTGTCTATGAGCGCAACTGTAGTGGTCTGAATAAGAGATCTCATTACATTAAACCCCTGGGCAGCAAGGAGGCTGGATCAGCAGTGGGAAGAAGAGAGGGATGAATAAGGGGCAAAAGAAAGGCTGATGTGAACTTTTATGGCTTCTGTAAGGCATGGTGCTGTCCGCGGAAAGCCTGGCAAGCAAAAGCGAGTCTCTGCAGTCACCTTTTGGCTGGTGTCGAAAGGTACTAGCAGGACTGAAAATGAGGATGTTTAGGGTCAGAGAGGGGGGAGAGAATCACTTGTGGAGGATGATCGAGAGTACAGATAATCGGGAGTACGGCTGGGAAATGAAAAGCCGTAATTCCCACCGGCCTTTTCGGGAGGATGGCAGATCAAAAAGAGGAGGGGGCAGCGGCGCCAGCGACCCTGGCGAGGGGAGGCTCCGCGGAGACCGGAGTAAAGTCCCGCTGCGACCCGGGGCGGGGAGGGGGAGAGGGGGCCGACCCCGTCCCAAGTTTCCCGGCAGGGGCGGCTCCGGGGCCTGCGGGGTTGGGGGGGGGGGGGGGGGGAATTCTCTCGGCGCCGCTCGCCTCCGGAGCCTGGGGGCGCAGCCAAGGCAGACAGCATTGCGGAGGCATTAAGGAGACGGGGCCAGCCCTGACAGCTGCGGGGAACTCCGGTTCCGGGGCACTCCCAGGGCAGGGCAGACCTGACTCCGGCGGCATCGGGGCCAGCCCCGCGGGAAGGCGGGAGGGGGGGGCAGCGAAGGGAAGTCCCTGACCGAGGTCGGGGAATAGCCTCCGCGGCTGTCTTCGGCCACGCTCTCCTGCGAGTGGAGAGGATGAGTTACCTCAGCTTCTCCCCGCACGAACTTCAGCCCGAATGCTGGTGGCGAGCAAACTCCTCGCGGAAATAGCGGTCCAGTGGGCAAGAAAAGAGAGCTGCTGTGTGCGGGGCCAGATTTCCCATGGGCAGTACATGGAGGCTCCAGCCAAAGGCGCGCGCGGTGTGAATCAGCAGGACTTCTCCAGGCTGGGGGGATAAGGTTTTTTTTGCTTGTTTTGTTGCCAGCACTAAAGAGCTCCCACCGCCACGCAGAGCCGGGCAGTTAAGCCTAGTGTGGGCGTACATACGCGCTGTAGAGAGCGGATTTTATGTAACACACATCGCCAGATGTTTTCACGTTAACTGCATAAACAGGACAGTGAAATTAAAGCTTCCAGGTTATGGACACAAATCCGGGCTTCATGTTCGTGTGTGCATGCAAGCCTCAATAAAACCGTGCCCGAAAGGCAGCAGCCTAAGGACCCGCAAAGCAGTGAGCAGAAGTTGGTCAAATTCCCAAGACTGCTCCGTTTCCCGTCACTGGCGAGGTGCGTCCCTCACGACAGCGTGGCTCCGGCTCACGGCTCCTTCGGTGTCGGTGGAGCAGAAGTGACGGGAGGAGGTCTGAGCCTCCCCGTGCTCTGGACGAGCCCGTGCAGACACATGTGTGGGTCCGGGCCCCATAGGCGTCCAGTGCCCCCGCCGAGCCGGCTGGAGCGCTGCACAGTCCGGGTAGGGGAAAGACAAGGGGGTTTCTGTGGCGCCCGAACTCTCCTCACCCTCTGTCGCCTTCCCCTTCTCAGGTGCCATTTTCGAAGGCAATGCTGCCAAGGACGACGAGGTGTTCAAGCAGGCAGTGTCGGATCTGAACCTCAATGACGACATCCTCCAGAGCGAGAAAATCACTTACTCCATCAAGCTCATAGAGGCCAACAACCCCTTCCATGCGGTGCAGGAAGGTGAGCGCCCCGGGCGGCACCCCCGGTGCGGGCGGGCTGCTCGCAGGGAAGGGACCGGGCTGAGAGAGGATCCCCCCGGCCCAGCCCGGCCCGTTGACGGGGAGGGAAAAGCCCGGACCCGTCCTGGCGCTCGGCTGGAAACTTTTCTGCGGTCGGGGGTTGGCGCTGTCTTACAAGGAAAAGGGACGCGCGGCGCGGTGCCGCGGTAGCGTGCCCAGCCGTGATGCGCAGGGCAGCCCGGGCCAGTGGTGGCAGCCGTGGGAAAGCCGGCATGGCATAGCACGGCGCAGCACGCAAGGCGGGGCGGCCGGTCGGTCCTGGATCCACAAGCGGCCGCTCTCTTCGCCGCTGCGGAGGAAAAGCCGGCCTCCACCGCCGCCCTAGTCCCCGCAGCAGGGTCCACGCGTATACGCGGCTGGCAGGGAAGACGAGGGGGTCCTGCCGGGGGAGGGATGATGGTTTCATACGGCGCCAAGGGGTCGGGCAGGACGACTCGGTGCTTGCGGGAGGTGACGGGGCACAAGTCGGCATCTCGCCCTGCGCGTCTGCCCCAGAGAGAAGCAGGGTTCGGGCGGCCGGCGGCCGCAGCGCGGCCCTTTGAGAGTGGAGCTCCTCCCGGGTGGCTGGGGAGGAGGGTCAGGTAGCCCAGTAACGCGGGCTGAAAACCCTCCCAGAGTTTGCAAGATCTGACAAGTAGCTATGTAGGTAAATCACGTCAAATTTATTTTTTTTTATTCTTCTTTTTTTTTTTTTTTTTTTCCCAAAGGAAGACGCTTAAATTAATCAGCTTGCCTTTACAAATAAGACTTTAAAAAGATATTATTTGTGATTTAATGAAGCCAAGGTTAATTATGGCCTAGGTAATTTCAGAAGCTGTGTTTTTCAGTAGTAATTATTCTAGAAACAGAGAGCTATTTATATACCTAGACTAGAATATTTTTAAAAATGATTCATCACCAGCCTTACCCTTAGTTCTACAGAGCACAGAATGAATCTTACCCTGTATGAAAATTTGCATTAATCCATATGTATTTATGCCGAGTTGTGTACATGTAAATTATGGCTACAAAATTACATCAAATGTTAATGTTCATGAACTCTGAACAATTTCTTCTGCCTTTTTTTTTTTTTTCCCTTGGAGTAGGTGCTAGTTAGTATCACATGCACTCAGGAGAAAGAGCAGTATACACGTTTTTAAGGGTCTAATCCTGTTAACAGTAGGATTCCTCCTGATGCTCTGAAAGCTTAGTAAGGCAGTATGGAAAAACCCTTTATGAAAATGAGAAGAAAGGGATTTTAAAACAAAACTTTACCCACCAGAGGAAAATAAAAATCTCTAAAAATAATGATGTGTTGATTTATTGGCAAAGATTAACTCTGAACAATTGGATACATTTGCAAAGCTCAGTGTCCTATATTGGAGCTTATTCATATTCATGGAAGTGACAGTAGTTGGCTGGCTGAACAATTGCTTTCAACAATGTCTCTTCTCAGCAGTAAAACTTTATGAAACTATTCTGAGTACCCTGCGATCTGACAGTCCTGTTGATGGAGTCCCTTTGCTTAGTTTTGTTGAAAGCAGAAAAGCATGAACTGGAGCATTCTTGACCCACTAGGATTTTATTTATTTTTTCTTTTTTAATTGGTTTATTTGCTAACCTTGAAGATTCATATTGCATTTTTGAAGACTGTTATGAAAACAAAACTTCTCTATTGAAAATCCATGATGGACCCACAGAAAAGACTCTGGTCAGATTTTTAATCTTTTTGATACAAAATCTTTGTGCTGCCTGAGTATATGTAAATAAAGATATTTCTTACTGTCTCTTCCAAGATACTTTTTCCGGGCTCATGTGCCCATTGCAATTAGAATTGCTCTTTGATGAACTGACCCCACACTGGAGAATTCAGGAAGTGGTTGATGGATGTCACAATTCCAAAGAGAACTTGTTCTCTGTCACTGCTTGATTAAGGCATATCAATGTGTCTTCTTTTGGGAGGACTGCAAAATGATCCTATCTGTGAGTAAAAGCTTGCCACAGTGGGAGAGCCAAGATAAGAGTATCAGACTTGCTCAATTTCCTGGCTTCCTTTGTTGGTTCAGGTCAGGTCTTTTTTTTATTTAAGATTTAATTTCCTACTTTTGAAACGGTTATGCAACTTGCTGACAGAATGATCCACAGGATGTACAAGTTACCGCATTATTCTTACTGAGCGGAGTCTCTCTGCCCAGTGTTACTTGGTGTCATTCTGACTATTCAAAATCTAATTGTATTGCATCGTACGGATGTCCTTCTCATTTTGGTATAATATTGCTTATAGTAGTCAAAATAACCTGGAGCAAATCTGCTGCCCAGACTGCTTGTAGGATCTTGCTGCTGCTACATAAAATGCCCTGACACCCACATTATTCTTCTGCAGTGAATTGCTAAGCAGCACCATGGAAATCAATGTTACAAGCATTAGTTTCATAGTGATGGAACTTTTTATAGTAAAAACCAATTTGGAGTAAAAATAGACCATTGTGATACTACTGCCAGAATAGTTCACGCAAGCAAACCAATCACAAATATTGTTTTTATTTGAAGTGTCTTTTGCAGAGTCTTGTGAGATAACATGGTAAATTACTCCTTAAGTCTTTGTAAAAGAATGCTGCAAGCAAGGACCTTCATTTCAATGATACTGTGCTAGTAAAGTTATAGAAAGTCATCCTTCCGTGTTACAATGTCTGTTACACAGTAACAAGACTTTAATTACTGATGGAGATAGTCTTTAACATGCATTTGATCTGGCATTTGTTGTGCAGTTGGAGAACTTCTGCATGGGTAGGAACTATAGGATTTTTTTGGTAGGAGCAATGGATTTGCAAAAGTAAAAGCCAAACAGAAGGTACCTTGCCTTTCATAAATAGTTTTCAGTGCTGGAAGATGCTGGGAAGTGTCATAAGATTTTGAAAACAAGCTTTAGGGACTTTAGAGAGATAAGGGCACTACTGTGATAGTTTCTGATGACTGAAATAGATAAATAAAATGCAGCGATCCTCTTTTTTCAAAGGTGGGCACTCATGTTAATGGTGCCAGAGAGCAGTAATTAACAAAATGTAAATTGTGTTCCATCTTGTCTTTCATTTTAATATACATTGCAGAAACAAGATCCTGTTGTGCTGTGAAGTAAAAAGGTTGCTTTGGCCCTATCAAACTCATATTCTATAACAAAGTGTAGCAAGTGGGTGGAAGGAACTTCAGTGGCAAGGGATGTAACAGTAAAGACTCAACAGACCCTAGTGTACACATAAAATAGGACTTTTGTCTGTGCTTGCAAGTAGTCATCACATTTTGTAGAATATTGCTTTTATGTATGCGGGAATTACTTGAAGGAAAAATTGCTTTTTCACTGGCTGTCATGGGAGAAAATATACATGGGGAATCATTGTTCTTTTCATATGGTGTTAAGGAAATGAGCTCAAATCACAGACATGATGTTAAATTATATCTTTGCTTCCAAAAGAGCTATGTGCTCAGTTTCTGTTAAGTGATTGAAATGCGAGATAATAAGTGCTTGTTTGTGTGTGGTGTGTATTCAAGCTAGTACTGTGGTAACCTTTCTATGATTCAAGGATTCAAATAAGCTCAAAGATACGAGAAACAATTTAAAGCTTTCAGTTCAAATTGGGATTTTTGAGCCTGCCATTGGTTTTGAAAAGGGACTGTGTGTATGATATATGGGTGGCAAACAAGTTTCTAGCTGGGCTTGAAAACATGATTTTATGTTTAAACTAAAAACCAAAGCTAAAATGTAAGTTTCTAAAATGCTGCTTTTAGAGGTGGAATACTTAGCTATAAGTCAAAACTGGGGCATAGGAAAGCTAATATTCCGAGTGCTCTTTGGAGAAGGGATCCAAAGGAGACAGTTACTTGGAAACTGTGAAACTTTAAAGCCCGGTTTCTCAGTGGATGGTGCTTGCACATCTATGTAGATTTCCTGGAGCTGAAACTTGCTGTTCTCTCTGCATAGCAATTTCAAATGAATTGTTTCTAATTTGGGCAGCCTTGTATGTGTGCTTGTTGATGTTAAAATGCTGTCAGCTCTGGAAACCAGAACAGATTTGGAAAATCAGTATGTGATTTGAGAGCAAGAATGGTGTTCCATAAAAGGGTTTATTGTCAGCATGCTGCTGTGGTTTCAGAGCAACTCAGAGCGGCTGATTTTTTGGATATCTGTGTTGTATACCATTGAGTGAATTTGATCTCTTATCATAGTCAGTAGGACTTGGTAATGATACATACTTGGCGTAAAATAGAGTAGATAGAATAGACTATTTCAGTTGGAAGGGACCTACAATGATCATCTAGTCCAACTGCCTGACCAATTCAAGGCTGACCAAAAATGGAAATGCCTCTTAAAAACTGACAGGCTTGGGGCACTGACCCCCTTCCTAGGAAGCCTGTTCCAGTTTTTGACCCACATGCTTGGTAAAGAAGGGCTTCCTCTCCCCCCCACCCCTGCACCTCCCCTGGTGAAGCTTTGAACCTTCCCATGCACCGTGTAACTGGATATCGTGGAGGAGAGATCAGCACAGAGTTCTTGACCTGTCTTGGTTCCGCACATATATTTCATGTTACTGCAACTGTTGCTTTCTAAGAGTTTTATTTGTTGAGAAGGTGTAAGCTGATCGATGTGTAGATAACGAAGGTGAAATACAGACATGGAAAACGGGACTCAGCAGCTATGTTGCTATTCTTACATTTATTTATCCGGCTAAAATCTCAAGCGAAGCTATGCTTGTCATATGTGCATTGCCCAGTGGCAGGAAACTGCAGAGTGGTGTGACTGTATGCTTGTGTCTGTGCATGTGTCTCACGGTATTTGCACATAGCTCTTTTTGCAAGCCTGGGACTCTATTTCAGTAGTAGTGCAAGTGTCCCTGACCAGAAAGCCACAGATGGCCCAGAAGCTGTGTCCTGGCAAAATACAGACTTAAGACTTCAGTTAAAAGACTA